CTCTGTTGTTGTTAATGACTTCTCTGGCTGTGTTCTTTGGCATTATAAGATTTTAGTTATTTTGGACCAAACAAAAAATCCAAGGTGAAGGGTCAGCCTAGAGACCACGTTTCCAAAGAACTCCTTTTGCTCGTTTCAGAAATGTATCTGTACATATATTTTGTGTGCAAGAGTAACAGGAAGAGAAATCGGTCATCAAATATGATCATCTCAAGCAGCTCAAGTTCTTAATTTTTTTTTTTACAATCCACAATTTAAATTCCATGTGGAAAGCAAAGCTGCAAAATCTGTCTCCTAAAGTATATTTTGCAATATTCAATTACATGAGCTTAGTTGCAGACATTTTTTTTTTAGTAGTCCAAACACTGAGTTTGTGTTACTAATTTATTTTTTTTAAATGGATTTAGATTCCAGTCCTATGAGGATGACATGCTGTCCCTGATCAAGGCATGATGAAGGAATTAGCCATGGTGACGTTTTCATATTTGAGATTAGAAGAAGACACACATCTGCCAAATGCAAGCAGAAGGAAAAATCTTGTTACTTTTTCTAAATCCTCTGAAAGCAGCTGGATTTTTAACTTATCCAAATTGTGAAATTTTGTTAAGATTGATGTCTACATAACAGTGTAGAGAAGCACAGAAATTCCTAAGAATTCAGGGTGTGTGCTAGTTGCATAGGAGGAAAGTTGGGGAAAAAAGCAGGGTTTTCTTTGCAATGAAATAAGCTAATTTCCTTTAACTTTGCCCTCATGGAGTCACTTGTTTAAAAACTGCAGATGTTTACAGTTACTGACTGTGAATTGCCTCTCATTTTTTTTCTGGATAAATCTATCATTTTAACTGAGTTTTTCCTGCACAAAATCTGAGCAAAATTTAAGTCATCTAATGTCATCTAATGATATCCTTTCTACTGTCTCCACTAGCTCTTTAGCTGCTTCCACCCAACTGATGCTTTCACTGTAGTTAGGAGCATGAGAATCAGGAGCTGGAATAATGTGCTTGGACTTAGAAGATGCATAGGAGATTTGCACCTTTGTGCCATAACAGTCCTGATATCCCTGGCTGGCTTATCACACCAGCTCTCCCTGTGATCAGGATAGCCTTGGATTCTGGGCACAGTAAGGGAGCTAGTGAGGTGACGCTGTTTACTGGTCAAGCACTAAGAAAAGTAATACTGTTTGGTTTGGTGCATAGTTCTCGACCTATCTGTTGTAAGCAACATTCAGGATTATAAACCAAGAATTGAACATAAGATCTTGTGATGCTGTGCACCATGTTTTGGTAATTTGTCAAGTGGCCTGTGCATAATGTACTTTCAGTAATACTGCTACTTCCATTTGGAAACAAGAAACACAAAGAAGCATCAATATATGCAGCAATGTAGTAAGTATATTGTCATCAAATACGAAGGAGATGCTTATTCATATCCTTCAGTTACATACACTTCTTCTTAAACAGTAGAATGATTTTACAAAGATGGATTAATTTGAAAAATGTATTGTTCTCTATGGCATGCTTCATGCATGTTGTTTTGCAGACTGATTTATGGATGAGTAATCTGCAAGATCTGCGAATCTTGCAGGAAAAAAAATCTCACAAAGCAAATTCGTGTGTCTGGAGTGATGCTAGCTTGGACAGCTTCATACGGTAGACAGCAAGGCTCTTAAATGTTTTACTTTGTTTTACACCTAATGTAGGCATATTGTTATGAGCATGCTGGCAATGACCGTGTGTATCATGTAATCTGAAGAAACTGAACAAATAAAATGTGTCTGTAGGTGAATTTAAAATGTAGGATGCCTACTTCTAGTTTTCTGTAGCCTGCTGGCTCAATATGTGGCTTGCAGAAAGGAGGTGGGCAAATATCAGTGATATGACATGGCATCTACAATTGACTTATGAGACTTGTTCTGTCTCTGGCACTCTGGATCACGAACTTCATCACATCCAAGAAATGTTAACAGCTCTGCCCCTTGGGCTTCAGCAGCTCTGACTGTCTGTGGTTTTGTAATTGACAGCTCCACCATGAGTATGCAGCTCTGATTGACATTGTGCCACTCAAATGTATAAGGGTTTCAGCCTACTATTCTTTTGCAGAATCGCCATGATGGGCATCTGAGTGACATTTTAATTTGATAATGAAAGAGCCATTACATCGGAAAACAGAAAAATGCCTGTTTGTGGCACAAGATATTTTGTGTGACCACTGAGGTCATTTGAGAAAGGTCTGCTGTTGAAATAGTTATACAAGTTTGCCAGCAATGATTCACTACCATGGTGGCTGCAGATAAAATCTGTTTGCTTTCTACTTGATTTAAAGATTTTTGGTATTAGGGGTGTCTGTATGTTGCTTAAACAATAAAAATCCAGTAACACTTAAGTTTGCTTGATAAAGATGTCCCATTGTGCGGAAAATGCTGTTGCCAGAGGTCGATGTTCCAATAGGAGACAGAGGAATCCTGTAAAATATACTTTATTTGAATAAAGGGAGAGTCCATGGGCATATCCCGGTGGGGTCTCTCAGTTTGGCTGGGGGACACAGCCCCATTCTTATCCTACTTTCCCGGCCGCAAATTTCCCTCCTCCTTTCACCATTGGCTGAGGTGCTCAGAGTTTACAGACTTCCCGGTACGCCTACTACATATCCCCCTCAACATGTACCGCCCTTCATATCATACATCCCATGTCTCACTAACTTCATTTTATGCCTCCCCTGGGAGGAGAAGTTACTATGTATAAGTTCATTAAGCATGCGTACTAGTTCCCAAAGTTCAGAGGTTTAGGCTATGTAAATGTCTTGAGGTAGATAATCTAGGTTTGTTTAAATTCATTCAAGTCCTCAGGTTCTTCTTGCTTGGTTCTTTTGTATGTAAAGTGGCCAGGCTATCACCTTGGAACACTGGTGACTGTATCTCTCCACATAGTGTTTTACCCCCACTCCCTGCTGTGAAGATACATTCCCTGCTTTATCCTATCACCATGTTTCTTCATATCTGAAATGCCACAAGAAGCTGGGATCTGTACACCCTGCTGTCCCTTTTAACTATGTCTGACAGCCACAGGTCTTTCCTTCCTGTACCTGTTTCTAAAGAGATCCTGATGGGAATCAGAACACAAATAATTCAGTGCAAATCTTTGAGATTCAAACTTTTAGATGCTCACATCATAGAAGCCTGCTCCTCTCTCTCATTTAGGGATGTGTATTATAATATTACCTATGGAAACAGGGTTTGGGTTGTGCTAGACAATGTTACACCTATATCAATCTCTCCATGTCTATATAATATATTTTGAGAAATGTAAACTTTGCTGTAATAATTGACAGTATAAATAGCCAAATGTGTTGTTCTGGCGTCCTATAGGTGAGGAGTTGTAGTAGTAAAATATTTACATTTTGACCAAAACATATACAGGAAATCTTTGGCAGAATGAGAATCTGGTACACATTCTTAAATTCTTCCGATTGCTTTTCATCTGCAAAAGTCTTAAGAAATTAAATACTTACATAGACTTTTTATTTTCTTCAGTTTAGTTCCTCTTTCAATTGTTGAAGGTTTAGATTTTTATTCAGCAGAAATAGATTTTATTCTTTAAGTGCTATAGGCTTGGGATATTTTGTACTGTATGCCACTAATTGTAAAGTTCACCGTCCATCAGTTGATCACCTAGCTGGAACTGGCTAGTGATCTCCTGGAAGAGGACCCCAGGACCAGTACAAAAAGGATAGTTACTACCAGTTCAGCATGGGAATTACTGTCATTGATACATAATTTTGTTAGCCAAGGTTCTGTGTGCTCCACTGCTCACAGTCCGTCCAGAACCTTGTCTTCAGCTCAAGGGTCCACTCACTTGAAACTCTGAATTCATGCTCGTTGCATTTAGCAATAGTTTGCTAGTTAAGTGGTGTTGGTGATGGACGTGTTGGTAATGCCTGCAAAATAAAACATGGTTGTGATAACAATGGGTTCTTCAGAATTATTTTTGTGGATCTACTCTTCAGATCT